CCGTCTTTTGTTCGGATCATGCCTCTTTTGACCCAACTGTTCGACGGGGTGTCCGAGCTGTGATACACCCTACAGTGCCGATCTGTTATCCTCCTGTTCCCAAGAAGCGGCTGACGCATCACCTCCTCCCACCTGGTTGGTGGGGAATGGTCAGGCAGCGGGAGTTGGCGCCAGGCCCTGATGACTCGGGTCCAGAAGTCGTCTCTGACCAGGTCCAGGTCCGTGTGTGTGTATGTGCGTGCGTGCGTGTGCCTAACTGTTTCGTCGGACTTTCACCGACTCATCAGGAGGTTGAACCCTGACAGTCTGGCCCAGGATGGATACCGGCTCACCACATCGCCCAACGTTAGCAACACCCCTGAGAAAAGTGTATTGCTATGTTCGCTATATGCCACTCAACCAAAAAAGCAAGACTGTGCGAAGTGGGCGAAGCCGAAGGCCCGACTTTAGTGAGTTTTTTTCCAATTTTTCAAAAATCAAATTCGTGTTACCAAGTGGCAGGCAGTAAAATGACTAATGACCTGGGTGAGGGGGTGGGGATCACGCTTCAGCCATCCACCGAAACCATACCTGCGGTTTCGCCCAGTGAAATGTTCCCCCGCAAAATCAAGAACACGCTTGGGGTTTGAGCTTCGGTCCTCTGCCAACCATGCACCCGCGGCTTTGTGTGAACAAATGGATCGCACGAGTTCCGACCCTCTGACAATAATGCACCCTCAACTTCGCATGGCCATATCAATTGAGACGGCATTGTAACCGTAGTAGAGATCACACTACCGTCTTGACCCGAAAACAAGGTACAAACCTTTTATTCCAGTTACCTCTGGAAACTGGTTCTTGAACAGAAGATACCCTTGAATACAAGGTATGCACCTGTGTGCTCAATGTGCTGTAATCTGCTCACAACTTCTACAAAAGACAAAAATCATAACGGTGTATCTGTTCTAGTCGAAAACGTAGTGGAGCGATGCCCAGACTCCCAAGTCTACTTTACGCAAGCTGGAGAAAAAAACCTTTTCACTGCGGGCTGCAGCCCCGTCCTGGTAGCGGTCGACGCGCGTCGACGTGCATCCTGGAAGCAGTCATTGTTAGTGGTGCTGATATGAGCAAAGCTGATGCGAGCAGACATGCCTAGCACCCGCGAGAGGCTCCATCTATTGGTGGGGAGCATCCCCTGATCACCTGCTGGAAAGTTGCTATGTCCAGCGTCCCTTATATAGATTGAAATGCTGGACTCTCAATGTACATCAAGAAACAGTTGTGGATTCATTCATGATATTATTAATGCATTACTAATATTTTCACCTCGCCACACTTCGCCCTTCGCCTTGTTGGACAGATGAAGACCCTAGTGACTAGTACTCTAGAAGTTTAGAGGGGGGAGTTAGGTAGGATACCGATCAGAACCAGGGCACTCGGTTCCAGTCGATGGTCGCAGTAGACCATAAGGGGGGGGGGGGGGGGGGGGGTGGGAGGGGTGGGGGGGGGGAACTTAGTTCCTCTTGCCGGGGTGGGCCGAGGCCCAGACCGTGGTAGGTCTGAGTATATTTAGGAGGGGAGTAGGGCAG